ATTTTTATTTACATATTGTTGCGTTCTACGGGTTCGTGGATTTGGAGCAACTGACAAAGAATAAAAACACAGTTTATTTGCCAGCAAGCACTGTTACACAGGACAGTTCCGAAGACACATTTACACTCGTCGAAAAACTAGAAAAACAGGCTGAAATAATCAGCAACACAGCCTTCAGACTATAACGGTGAAGACAGCATCCCGCCAAAGCACAAAAGTATAGCTCTCCACTCGATAGACCTCTGTCAAGCTAATCTCTTGACTCAAGACACTATACTTCCAGGACAGGCAGAGTGTATTTAGCTTTAACCTACCTTCGAGAATATTCTTGAGAAAAACCGCTAAAAATGTGTTCTAGAATATTCTCGCTCCGTCTATGGCATATCGCCAGTTTGTAGCCAAATATCGCCAAGTGGTATTTAACAATCTCAAAATCTGGTAACCCTATACTTTCCCTGCCACTTTCTGGAAACCATAACCCCGTTTTGTGGGGAAGCTATCTCAGTGCACCTGGGCATTTCGCCACAATATTTATTATTATCTCTAAAACATTTACAACAATAGATGGTTTTTATACGAGCACATCTAAATTCCCATTCAAATAATATTGGACTTAGAAGAGCACTACTTTTCTGAGTGAAAGCTCAAGCACCTTTCATTATAGAAACTTTCAGAACTTTTAACTAATGGCGAATCCGGCATCACAACTTAGGATCGAAGAACTCAGAAGAGACAGCAAGATTGTTTTTATTCGTGGTTTTCTGATACTAATGCTCAACGTCGCTGTCACTAGGCTACGCTAAATTCTCGACAGCGATTTTCGCATCTGACGTTCGATATAGTTAGTTCTTTGCTTTATAAACGAGTGCTTGTTTTGTAAGCTAACATCAAAAGTGTATTTTCATTTTAGGCATTGATAAAATGAAGTGTCCCCGTTAATTGACCCCCGTAAAATTAATCGAAATTTGAATCGATTGAGATTGATTAAATGCAACAATAAAATCGGTACTTCTCGTAAAACACAAAATGTTTCGTTATTATTTATGTTTCTTTCATATTTGCCTCATTTTCAGAATAATTCTGAATTTTCAAAATTCTTAACAGTAATTCAAAAATATAATTATTTATTCTATCAGAATTTAACAAACGATTCTCAGTAAAATAATTTTAAAAGCTTAAAATAAGCTGTTTAATTAATTCAAAATAATTATTATAAATTAAATTTCTGATACCATAAAATTTTAATTTGATGTTTTCATAAAACAATGCTACATTTTGAAATTCAGTGTAGTAAAAAAGAATATCCTCCATTTGCAAATTAATTTTAATACAAAGTATTTTTAACTGCACTAATTATTAACTAACAAAACTGAATGGCAATATTTAAATTGTAGAACTTTAAAACAGAACCAGTGGATGTGAAAATTTAAAACGAGTTTTGCTTCTCAGACCCGAGTTTTGCTTCTCAGAAGTGACTATTTTAATACATACTGGTGGAAAAACGTGTATTAATCACAAATCAAAAACTGGTCATCTGAAATACATGAATAGCAAGCATTTCGCACAGCTAATTGAAGACACATTTCTGTAAAATATATTAATGAAACCTTACAGTCACTGATATACTGAAGTTTGAAAGCACTCATTAAATCACTTGCTAGGCTAATGAAATGCACTGGTTCTGGATTGCCACATCTTTAAAAGCACTGTTTAATCGCAAATGATGATAGATAATCCCCACTCCCGCACTTTCAGGCATAGCATCAAATTCGTTACATTGCCGAGGATTTGATGAGATGGTTGATTAATTATGCAGGCATCCCAGTAATAGATTTTCGGTTGAGAATACCGGCACTTATTTTTATTTTGTAGTTGAACGGACCGGGGTCATCCTTCGCGTAAGCATGTGTTCTCGGCGTAATAATGTGGAAAACAGGTGAAGATGTTGAATATTTTTTATTTTCGTTCACAAGTATTTTTAAACCAACACAAATAAATTGGCGCAATACGCGTCATTTCGTGAAGAACCTATGTACATCTGTCCCCATAAAATTTTGAATTTTATGGGCAATATATATATTTTTAGAATATATATATATTGCCCATAAAATTATTAGAAAGCAGACGAAACTGCTTTCTAATTAAGAATATGCCCTACGTTTTAAGATGGAGGTTAGTTTCAAAGTTATTTGGTTTTCGGCTTTTAGTATTAGGTTCAGTTTGCTGTATCTGAACTGTATTAATATTTAAGTCTCAAATTTTTTATTGGCTAAAGCAGCGGTTCTCAACCTTTTGATTAACATGAAACATCTAAACAAAAACTGAAAAACTTCAACATCTCCACATTTTACAATGATTATTTTTCAGTTTCTCAATAGAAATATTAAAAAAATATATATATTGCCATTTGTGCAACCTTATTGGCTATTTTTATTAAATATGAACACATAAAAAATATTAGATTAAAAGTTGGTTACCATTCTAAATATCAAAATTTAAGTTATAATACTTTAATTCTAAAATTTAGTGTGAAATTTGGGCCTGTGTTAAGACTGACAAATTGTTTTATGTTTGGTCTAATTTCACTTAGTTTTAACCGTAAATTAAGATCTACTTTTAATTTTGTTCTCTATTTATTTTTTAATTTAAAACATGAAAGGAAATCCTTGTTCAGACAAATTGGTTGCGCAAAAAGGCAATAAAAATTTAATAACTTTATTTGAAATGCCTTTAAAATAATTTTTTTCCGTTTTAATTTTGAAATCTTCACTTAGAGTTTGATCACAGAAAAATTTCTAATAAATGTTCTTTTTCTTCACGAGATAAAATTTCAGGTACATTTGAACAAATTTAATTTCTAATCCAATTTTCTTTTTGGTAATCCATGAAAAAATACATGTTGAAATTATTTATTAATAAAACATGATTTTTAATGTCGGATGGTAATTCTTTTATTTTCAAGTTATTTTCGGTTAGAAAATTTTTCTAAAAGGTAAAAACTTAATATTACCCTTCTTAGATTAGCTGGAGGGTTTTTTTTTTGTTATTCTTATATTATTTATATATATATATATATATATATATATAATATATATTTATCGCATTTATTTTTATCTCAACAGTAAGAAAATTACACTTTGTCCTTGTATCCTGAATTTAATTCATTTGAATTTCCGAAACTATCAACTAAATTTGGTTAATTTTTTTGCAATATTTCTAGCCAGGTAAGGTTTTAAACAAAAGCTTGTAATTTATGTTCATATTAATCAATTGAGCAGTACTAAGCTTTAATCCGTAAAGTTATTAAGAACACTATTATAAATACAATTAAAAAAATTGAAGCAAAAATATTGAAAATTGTGGAAGAAGAAAAAATTTTAATTGTTGAATTTTTTAAAAAAAATTTAATTAAACAAAAATTAGCAAAGAAATTTTTTTCAGCTTAAAACCATTTTGTCTCATAAAACCACTTCATATTATTCACAAAAAGTAGATGAAAGTTCTTAAATAAAAAAAAATCATTAGAAAGGTACCGAGTGCCCCTTAAGATTTGAAGTACATATCGAGAATTAAAACAAAGGAGCGTCGATTCTAAATTCTTCAACGCAAAATGTTTCAGCCAGTTTTGCAAATCCTTGCCTGTATGAGATACATTGAACACTGATTTTTTTTTTGGGGGGGGGGTTAAAAATATAACCTGCCAGAAAGTAGTCCCGCATAATGTTTACATTAAAAGTGATTTAAAATGCTGGGCAGATATTTTTCGTCTACTTTCGTTTCAGTATAAATTAACAAGGTGTCATTGATCTTCATCGTAACCTTTACTACTTCAATTATTCAGTAGGATAAATTAAAACTTTCTTTTTCAGCAGTGCAAGACTGAATGATGTGCTGTTTCCAGTGCCTGTGGGAGAATATGATATTCATTTTAGCGTTCCGTAATCGCATTTAGTATGCAAAACGTTACAAGTCATTTACTTAGTGCAGTTAAAAATCTTCGTATTATGATTATTTTACAAATTGATGTTTTTATTTTTATTGATTTTATTGATTTATTTTTTTACTAGCTTGGATTTAAAATGTAGCACTGTTTCATGAAAATGTCAAAATACTATGGTATCAGAGATTTATGTGTTTAATAATATTAAAAGAAAATTATCAGATTAATTTATAAGGTATTTCTCCCGCCTTCTTAGCGTACCTTCGTGATGTAGTAGTCTGCAGGCTGGGCGCGTATTCTAGAGGTCCGTGGTTCGATTTCCGGCGAAGGCGTTGCTCATTTTCCATGACTCCTGCTTCCTAAAATAATACCTAATGTCTCTACAGCGGTGCCCTAACTAAAAGGGTGGTGGATGATGTTTCTCCACACCCAGGATTTGACGATTGGTTTCACCTCTGAAAAACCTCTCCTTTTACCTTTTCGTACTACATACTGGTCACTTGTTGACGAGGTTAAGACATACCTTCGCGTAAGACTTTCTGAAGAAAACGCTCATATTAATGTTACGCATGGAAAACCATGAAAACGCTGATGCAGAGAAGCTTCTTTGTTAAGAATTGGACCTAGCTTGAAATGCTAGTGCTTCAACAGTCTTCCCATCTAGCCACTGGCAAATCCAGGTATTATTTATTACAAGTAGAAAAGGATAAAACTGCAGAAGCATTAAATGAGTATCTTACATATTGATGACAGTTCCAAGATAAAACTGTTTATTTTCACATTCTGTAAAATGTATAGTATTGTTGAGAAATTTCAATCGTAAATGTCTGTTTTTCCAAAAACAAACTTTTTTTTTTTGGGGGGGGAGGTCATTTTACTTTAAGAAAGCAGGAATTAGCTGGTTTAATGTATAAATTCCGTGAGTCATTCATATGCAGAAACTTTCGAAAATGTTCAAAATATTTCATTATTTTACAAAATTGTTGTAGTTTGACTGTTTCGTTGTAAGTTTTTTACTGTTATCATTAGACGAAATAAAAACTTATTTTTCTTTTGACAGCCATCTCACTTAATTGATAGCACAAAAAGTCGGAAAGCCAATGGAAGAACAGGATGGCCTCAGGACATGTGGGCATTGGAACTGAAACACGAGAATCCCACTTAATGAATGCCTTGCAGCAAGATTTCCAAGGTTTTAATTGTGATCGACATAGCTGTGAAACTAAATGACTCTTTCGAACAAAATTAAAATGCTGAGCTGGACTCAATAAATGCGTGTTGAGATATAGATACATGCTGAGTGTGAGTTCCAATTGAAACTAAAGTTTTGCGCCGAGGAAAAGCTGAAACGCAGTCTAAGGAACACGAGTCAAGTACTGTTACATTTCTAAGAAAACGGTTCTCATTTGCCTTCAGAATATCAAGCTGGAGAGCATAGTATCGTTTCAATTCCGTGCTTTTCCAAACCGTTTTTGAATAATTTGTTGGTAAGACAGACCACGTCGTACGGTACACACGGGATTTGGCGGCATTATAATGAAGCAGTAAACGCGGTATTTATGATGAGTAGTAAACAAGTCATTTGCGTGTTGGCCACAATTTTCAGCATGGCGCTAAGGTCGTACCGAGTACTAGGATTTTACCCTAAATCTAATATAATTTTAAATTTGTAAAATGCGAAAGATTATTTTGTACAGTGAAATTTCAAATTTGTTATCTTTACCCCTTTTAACGAACGAACTACAGAACAATTTTTAAAAGTCAGAAAGCTTTAATACCATATTACTTGGGAGTTTAAGCCATAATAAGACTTAAACTGAGAAACTGGAAAAAATATCAAAAATAGCCGCCGGACTTAAAACTGGAAAAGGTAATCAAAAATAGTTGCCCTCAAACTCAAGCGCAGTGGGATGCTAAAATTCGAAAAATAAAAAATACTTAAAATTCTTTAATAATAATAATAATAATATAAAATTCTGTTATAAAATCTTCAATCATTCGTTGTGAGAGGTGGGCAGAAATATGTTTTTGAAATACTAGCTTTAATAAGCCTTAGCCAAATTTTAGACCTTAAAAATTTGAAGAAATACTGGAGTTTTACGGTATAATGTGTGTATACTTTAAATGAAAGTTCTACGAACATATAATTGTTAATTATGACACCGGTAAGGTGGACAAGAATATTTTTCATCAGCCACTTATTTTAGAATATGTATATATTTTCCTAGAAGTACTAATATGAAGAAACATGCGACACTCTTAGATCACAGATTTTTGTAATGAATACAATTTTTACAAGTTTTTTTTTTTAAATCTGCCTTAAGGCTACATTAGACTTTGCCTTTCCCCATATTGTATAGAATGTTTCTAATTAAAAGTGATTTTTCGTACAATCTGAAGTCAAAAATAAAAATTCATTTTCAGAAATTTAATATAAATTATGTGATTCGTAAATTCAGTGCCTTTAAAATCGAGTTTTAACGTTTCATTTTTTATACTTACAGATAAAACTTCTTGTGATAATAAAAAAGTGTGAAAACAATGATTCGAAAAAACCTTTAAAAGTGATTTTTCGTACAATCTGAAGTCAAAAATAATAATTCATTTTCAGAAATTTAATATAAATTATGTGATTCGTAAATTCAGTGCCTTTAAAATTGAGTTTTAACGTTCCATTTTTTATACTTACAGATAAAACTTCTTGTGATAATAAAAAAGTGTGAAAACAATGATTCGAACAAACCTGTTTATATGATATGCATTCATAATATAATTATGAGCATTAATAAAGAACCTAGGAGAAACTTATCACTTTTATACATTAAAATTGCCTTCTCATTTGTGGTTTCAAAGTGTAATGACCAAAGCTGATGCCAAAGTTTGTAAATATTTCTCAGCAAAGCAAATTTAATAGTTTTGTTATGTATATTTTTTTATGGAAAGCCAAAGATTTGTATTTTAGATTATGCTGATTTTGTAAATAAATTTTATCTCAAATATATTTTGTTTTTTCAGTTAATAAATTATATCAATAAATTATATCTTCAAAACTAATTTTGTTTGTTTATTTATTTTTATTTTATTACTTTTTGTTATCCTCATTTATTTTGTTAATCTAATCTTGATATTATTTTGTTATATTTATTTTAAACAGTAAATTGAATTAATAAAGTAATAATTTTTTGCTTTAAATATTATTACGTGCTTACGTGTTCGTTATAGACTGAATGCGCATACAGAACCGATTATAGCTTCAAAATTTATTTTGGTAAAGAAATTCTGCACAATTTTGGAACTTTCCCCAGAAATACTCGTACATCACTTCACAGTATCACAGTACGATCAGTTCAAACTACTAAGAACAACGTTTCAAACTACTAAGAACAACGTTTCAAACTACTAAAAACGTTAAATACAACGCAGTGCAAAGCGCATCTAAAGAGAGAAGCTAACATGGACATATCTCAATAGTCCGAACTAACGCTGAACAACTCAGGAACTCGATTCCAGAGAAGTGCCTTGACATTACAGGCGTAAGAAGTAATTTCATCATAACAGCTAAAGTCTATGCGTAGCCACTAGACAAGTCTGTACGTTGGCGCTATCCATCGGAGCCCACCAGAACTAAAAGAGAAAATTAGTAAGTCATAAAAAAAAAGTGAACTAAATTATAAGTCCGCTTTGATCATTTCTTCTACGATTCTCAGTGCAAGCAGAACTTTTTCCTTGGGGTGACCGTAGCTTTTTACACTTTTCAGCAAACTGTAATTTTAACAAAGCAATTTTTAAATCAATTTCTTGAGGTTTTGGTCCAACTGGAAATCCTTTGAGTCTTGCAACACATCATCAGAGTAAGATCTCGCACTTGGAGCCTGCTCATTTGACGAGGGCCTGCTTGCAGTAGCATCAGAGACTTAATGATTGGTCGATTGAGATTGCTTCTTCGGATGTTCAACTTTTCGATTTGGTCGAAATTCGCTTATTTTTGCCGACGCTACATGGTCCAATTTACAATTGACACAGGTAGGTTTCTCTTCTTTCTGCAATTTACACGTGTAGATAAGATGATCCTTACCGTATTGCATACATCTAGGGAGATTCTTGCAGGATAACTGCCCATGTCCATATTGTTGACACTGGTAACATCATTGTGTCTCTGTTGCTTTTCAACTTTCTAAAAGTGACTTTAAGATCCAGCAGCTATTTTTTACGGTAGGTACTTCTTCCAGCAAGAGAGACATAAGACAGGAAGTGTTTTCCGAGTGAACTGTGAAACCTTGATCACAGGGAATCCTTCACTGCAGAGTTCATTCTTGATTTCATCTATGGAAGAATCTTTGGCGAGACCTCTGACAACTTTCGAAGGAGTGCCGTTCTTAGCTCTAAACGTGCTAAAATGAACTTCCTTCTTCATCAGGATAGCGAGCGCCCGGTCGCGATGCTCAGCAGAATCAAAGTTGTCTTCTGCCTGGTCGCATACCGATGAAATTCTGAACTCCGTGTTTGGAGAATAGATCTCTGATTTCACTCAGGAACTCATGCTTTCCTCAGTCTTATATAATTTTGCCTCAGCCGCCGAGAGATCTCTAGTATTTAACTTTCCAATTCTCGATATTGCTGGAAGGCATATGAGGGCCGTATACGGTTACAGTTAATGTAGAATCAATTACAGTACCCTTTAGTTATACAGAAACCGGACTAAAATGTCGGCCAACGGTCGCCAAGTTTAACGACTTAATTTGGCTACAAAATTGGTCACCAGAACCATCGCCACCATGGCGATATCTCGCCAGTTTAGCAAAATAACCATTTACGTAATGCTAAATAGATTTGCCCCTGTATTCTTATTTTTCCGACCGAGCATCTTCTCTGCCAAGCATTTCTTGTTACGGTAAAAAAAAGTGTACTACAGTTATAGATATAATTGACGTATGTTCAAAATTTGTAACAATAAATTTTTCCGTCATAATAATAGCCTTGTAAAATTTTTTTAAACCTTAAATTTTTAAAATCAGATTTTATCGACATATTATGAAGATTAGAAACATTTAGGCACTTCTATTGTGTCATTTAGTTTTAATATGTACGATTCACTATTCAAGTGCGTATCATTAAATTTCACGAAAAGCATGTTGTTTAACGCCAAATTCGAAAAATAAAAGTATTAACGAACATGCGTTAGTTATATGTGTATTCAAAAGTTGACAATATTATTTCCGTGTTAGCGTCAGGGCTTACTTTCTAAAATTAGAAGTGCCGGAGTCCTATGCAAGGCCGTCGAGAAAGAGGAACAAGAGTAAATAAATAAATAAAATAGCCATTAGAATCGTAAATAATTTAAAAACTAAATAGCTGATGATTACCAGATTAATTAATCATTATTAATATTAATAATTAATATTCGGATTGTTATTTAATTAATAATCACTATTCAATTGATAATGTATTATTATTCATTAAAATAATTAAAGTAATTAATTGATTAAAATTAAATGTACACAGATAAATTAAAATTTAATAAGCGATTTTTAATATAATTTTATTGCTAAAAATAAAATTTTCGAGATCATAATTTCTACTGAAATTGTTGTTGAGTTACATAGAAGTGCCGGAACCTTCTTATTTAGGGCTCCGGTGCGCTCCATCTAGAATTGTGTTTTCTCAAAAACTAAGAAGTACCGGAGCCAATTATTACTAGCAGTTGTGTTGCTAATTCACTTCAAGCAGGATTCGTGGACTGTAAGTGCTCATTTAAGGAGGGCTGTATTGCTAGACCCGAGAGATTAAGGCCAGTGGTTCTGAAGGAAACAATGTTACAAGAAGTAGGACTGCGGTTTGGAGTTTGGACCTACGTGACAGTGCTCCAGAAGAAGATGATGCTACTCGATAAGTATATATTTTTGTATATAAATGAATTAATACATAAAAAATATGAATATGGATTTTTGTAAATGGATTAATGTTAATTGTTTGGCATGACAACAAAATGTACTATGAAAATGAACCGTAATGCACCTTTTACAGGAAAAAATAATCTGAGACCCTATATTATATTCGGGAAAACACGGTAGGAAAAATGTCTGGGGAATGTGCGTTGTGACGAGGCCGGCGAAGGGGGTCATTGTGACTCTGTCGAAGAAATCGGTGGTTCTTTAAAAAAGAGAAGAAACGGGCCTGTAATTCGATACCTCAGTGAGAGGGTAGAGAAGATAAAATGAAAGGGAGCGCCGCACTTCCCCTGCAAAAATGATAAAAGCCTGCTTCTATGAAAGAGAAAAAAAAAAAAAAAAAAAAAAAAAAAAAAAAAGAATAGCGTGTTCTGTTAGCGTAGGAGTTGGTGATATACATCCATCTCGTACTTTAAAAAAAAATTTCTGAGCAACCCTCATCAAGACCTTAGCTACGAATCTGAATTAAAGAAATGGTTAATTGTTGCGCTTACATGGAAAAGACCTGTAAATCTCTTACATACTTTGAAGCAGCATTTATTGCTGTTTGAAAGTATTATATTTGTCATAATATAAAATTAATTTGACAAGTAGTACGTTTGAATTATGAAGTGTAACCAACAGAAATTTCTTACGGGTTATTTCTTTCAAACACGAAATAAATGCTATAAATTTGAATTTTTCCCTTTGCGTTATTATAATTGTTATTTATGTATGTTTTGATAAATATTTAGTAAGTAAAATATAAAAAGGTGAATTAAAATTTAGTTAGTTATTTGAATAGTTTATAAGGTATTTTCTTCCTCCTTCATACATGCCTTCGTAACGCTAGCACACTCGGCGCGAACTCGAGAGGTCCAGGTTCGAGTCCCGGCGAGGGTATTGCTCATTTTTCATAGCTGTTTAAAAAAATTGTAATTTCTCTACAGTGGCGCCCAGACTAAAGGATGATAGATGATGATTCTTCATCACCAGAATTTGGCGACTGGCTCCCCTAATCGTCAGTTGCCCTTTAAAAGCGGGAGTATCTAAGGCATTTTCTCCCTCATTTTAGCATGCCTTTGTGGTGTAACGGTAGCACACTCGGCGCATATTCGAGATGTCCAGGTTTGAGTCCCGGCAAGGGCATTGCTCATTTTTCATGTCTCCTGTTTCAAATACCCTAATGACTCTGCACGTTATTTGAAATTTAGTTTCATTTGGTTAAAAGAAATATAGCTTGTGAGCTATTCCAGATCATGCATTCGTCTCAAATGCAATTTGAGACCACTGCTTTAGCTGATGAGCGGATACTGTGTTTCCTGTCAGACACTTTACACTCTTTCCTTTTGGGTAATTTAAGATCTAAATAATAATTAAGGGTATATTAAATGAATGCTGAAGCTAATAAGCTAAGAAATGAAATGAGTAGACTTCTCCCACTCTTTCGGCATGGTGGGGTGAGGATAATATGTTCTGTAACTCAGAGGCCTTAACGTAGATAATTGTCATGTTAGGTACTAAGGGAATGAAATAAATACAATAAAACATGTGTGTATATTGATTTAAGGAACATAAATTGAACAACAAGGCTTTATTACTCGGCCAGACGACCAAATAAGACTGTTTCGCCGTGGCCTAAGGAATATCTCTGAACACAGGAATTTTCATCGGGTCCAATTTGAAATTCTTTTCTTTTCATCGTCAGCGGGGCAGCCGAAAGGGCTGAGTCTGGCGAAGGGATAAGTAAACTGATATATTTAAGTTCTTTACAAAAGTCAATGTCCGAGGTCAGCATGACGGGTACTGGACGATCCAGTGGTTCTGGGATGAAAGAAATGTGCAATGCCCGTGAGGAGAACAAATTTAGTTTCCACGTGTACAGAGCTGGAGGTGGATACATCCTACTTAAATAATGTTAATGGACTTCTATAATGTGAATAATAAGTTCTGTAGATAATTACAATACAGGTATAAGGCGTGACTGAGTTACATGGATATGACTTGCACAAATCTAAGACTACTAAAAAAGTTTGATGCAGGGTTTTTCGCAATTTTTTCATGTTTAACATGAAT